ATCTAATCATATGATATCTAATCATATCATATCAAATTAATCATATGATATCAAATCACAATGAATTATATTTAACAATTTTGATGCCTTGACTTCTGATTCTGTTATCCTTTCTGATATGACTGGATTTGATTATTAATTTGTTGGATATGGGTTTTGCAGATGCGATCCGGATTCTTGCTATCAGATAATGGATTTTCGGTGAACTGGTTTTTTCGGTTTAGCTTGAACTGGTTTTTGGTTTATTTCCTGAACTGGTTTTTGATTTACTGGACTGGCTTTATTTCTGTTTTCTGGTTCTAGATTTATTTATCAGTTGATGGATATCCAAAATATTTACTTGAAGAGCTTCATGATATTTACTTGATAGACAAAACATTCGGATCCTGTTTGGTTGGATAATCACTTTTCGGCAAAATCACCTTTTCGGTCCAAAACTTCTTTTTATCTCTCTTTCTCGGTTGTCCCAAAACTAAGAACAAATATTATCGGTCTAGTGCTGATGTCGAGGACGGAAATGGGAGTTCGGTTGCGACAATTTGTCGTGCCCTCCCGACACCCGATGATGAATTTTACTCTGAGGGTGTCAAAAATAAATCTAACATTTTACTCTTATTTTTCCGTTGTGATTTTTCTGTGTGCAGGTACGAACGAGATTGGAAACACGGAATCGGCTAATCGGAAGAGCATGAAGAAATTTAGAAATTTTTATATTTTTATGAGAAAAAATGTAAACTAAATTTTTTTATATTTTGTAATTATTTAGTTACTATATTTTTGTAAAGACTAAACTTATTAATAAAATTTCTCTATTTATTCATTACTTTCGTAAGAAATTAATATCGTAAGAAATTAATGTTAATAATAACAGTCTTTAATTTATTTATTTCATTTTGGATATTCAAATAAGAATGAAGACTAAGGCAAATATATACTTTTTATTTAAAATATAAATATAATATTGAAAATAGAATTACTAATATAGAATTAATAATAAAAGATAAAAAAATGTGAGCAAAATGAAATAAAGTTATATTTTTGTTATGAATGAAGTTATGTAAAATCAAATGCAAACAAACTCAAAGTGAAATAAAACTTAAAATAAAATGATTTGTTGTTGTTTTTTTAAAAACGAAATGAAAAAAATAAAAATAGAACTAAATGAAATTAAATTAGAATAAAAATGATGATGCAATGCAATATGATTAATTTAAAAACACCCAAATGGAAAGAACTCCACCTTTTTTATTATTAATTTCTAATTTTTCAATTTATCCGATTAGCTCCGTTTCCGACACAAATTTCGATTGAACTTCAACAACCAGATCAAATGGTCCAAATTTCCTGCCCAAATTAAGTTGTGCCTGGTGATAGAAACGGTACCGGCCTTGAATGAAGTAAAACAATAAAAAGAAAAAAGAAATCCGATTAACAGTGAACAGAGCTAAATCCGCACTAAAAAATTCAAATTATGTTTCTGATGAATAGATCCCCTGCCGTGAACCAACTCGGCCAAAAATTTCAATTAAACTGATATGGACTTGAGCTGACGTTCATACTGCTTTCTATTTAGGGATTTAAATAACGGGCAGCAGAAGAAACAGAAATAAATATCTATTGAAACCAAATTCCTCAGAACGGATTCTTGCACCCACTTGAACCAAACCAAACGAATATCTCAAACCAAATCAACCCATATGACAGAATAAATGCCTCAGAAATCCACTGACGACAGAGTCTCAGCCCATTGAATTAGTTACCGTATCTCGAACATCCTGATGCGAATACCGTGAATTTCTGTTTATCTTCAAAGAAAATAAAGAACTCGGAGACGGAGGTCCTGATTATTCAATAAATCCCTGATGATGACTCAGCTTCAAGGACTATCAGCAAACAACGTGAAAATGACCATTTTTCCCTTTAACAAGTAAAGTGTACCAGACACGGTTCCTGCAAAACGAAACAAAGTACATAACCCGTTAATAGTTAGCTGATGCGAAAATGAGATGACATGTGACGTGAATCGACTAATCTAAGGGTAAAATTTGGGGTATTACAATCATGTAATACCTTAATTAATTAATTAATTAACTAATTAATAAGAAATTTAAAAAACAGTAAAGGTTGAGATAAAAAGTGAAAATAATGAAAATAGATGATTAATAATTAAGAGCTTTTGGTTAGTTCGGTCAAAAGCTAATTAAAAAGAAAGTTAATTAGGTTATTATATATATTTAAAAAATTGGAAGAAATAAGGACTCTGAGAGTATTTAACAGTACGTGAAAAAGAGAAGAAAGATAGTATTGGCTTGGTGAAGAAAACTCCATAGAAAGTTGTTAGATTGTTTTACTGGATTTTTAAAGTAGGCAAATTATTCATCTAAGGGCACCTTAATCATGAATGGGCAGAGAGATTTCCTTTAACCTCCAATAGGATTTTCTTCCTTTTCTTTTGATTGTTTTTGCGATGGATTTTATGAATGTAATATAGTTTTATGCAAAGAGTCGACTAAAATTTATGCTCCGTAATTGTGGTGATTATTGGATAAACTAAAGTGTTCATAAACATGATATTTGGTAAGAAATTGAAGGTTCTGATCATGAATGTAATTATGATTTTTGGTGATTAATTGATAGGATAATATGTTGAATTAATGGAAAATAACATGCTAATATGTGTTAATCATGTATGTATCAATTATGGGTTGTTTCAGAATATTTTGAAGATAATTTGGTGTGTTTTGAAGGTTCTACAATGGCAGGACGTGTTTTTACTTCTATTAATAGGGTGACATACATCACCTACATGACGTCCTGGTCGTCATGTGCTTTGAAAATGCTAACGAGTGTCAGTTGTCTGATTGGGAGACCGTCATGATCCTAGGCAAGCGTAGGGCCTTGTCAGTCGTCACAGGGGTGACGGTTGAGGGATAAAGGTGATGATGAGCGACACCCTGGTGACGGGCTACCCGTCACCGTGTCAGTGGGTGCGTGTTGGCCTGCTGAGTTGAATTTTTTGTGTGGTTTTGTCGTGCAGTCAGCGTTCGGCTGTTGTTTGGTGTATCTCGTCGAATATTAGTTGATTAATTAAATTATGTAATTAATGGATCGTTGTTTAGTGATATTATGCATAAATGAGTAATATGTGTAATTGTGGATATATGTTCAATGTGTGAATATATCTAGTGAAAATGCAAGTATAATATTGTGTAAATTATTGTGCATGTTTGTTGATGAGTTGAGATAAGTAGTTCAGAAGAGAATCATTGATGATACGGTGAATGCATATTCGTCTATAGTTAGAGTGTAGATGTATTCGTTATCATGATGATGTTGTTTTATGATTGTTACATTCAAAGTGAGTTGTATTAATTATTATGTTGTTGTCGTTGCATTGTTATATGTCATGCATCATATATTGTTGTTGTTGTAAAAGAGAAGTATTTTTTCTCAAATCAAGATACTCACTGCATTTTACTTGATGTCCTGCAAAGGTTCTCACTCATTTCAATCTTCTCTTAGAATTTGGTAAATTTTACAAAAATCAATCTTTTTTTTGTGTGTGTTTTGAATGAGCTTTTAGAAAAAATAAGTTGTTTAAGTTGCATTCGGTAAATAGGTACCTTCTTTTGAATATGCATTGAAAGTTTGTAAGAGTTTAGGATTGCAATGGTATTTCTGCCATTTCTACAAAAGTACAGCTTTGTCCGATGATACATGCGGAGGAGGAGGCAATGGTTAGACATATCCAGTAGTATATGTTTGGATGTATTATTCTTTTGTATTTTTTGACAAATTTATGTATGATTTTTTGGATTGATGTATAACTTTTTTCTTTCATTTAACACTTTAGTATATTTTAATTTTATTTTGATTTTACTTTAATATTACTTGGTCTCAAAATATCATAATATTGTGATAATGTTGTTGTTCTGAAATGATTCATGAGAATTTTAGATATGCATCTTCGAAGGAATTTTTCTTTGCAATTAACATGTTTTCATTATCTCTTAAAGAATTTTAGAGAATATTTTAGAGATGCATCTTCAAATATACGTAAATACTATTCAGATGTGATTTTTGCACCATAATTTATTCAAATTGGAGTCTATTTAAAAAAAAAACTTTTATTGAAATGATTTTTAATGCGTTCGAAAATGCACGCATGAAAAATATTTTTAGAATTTCGAAAGTGTGAGATGCACATGTAATAAACATTTTCCATTTTTTTCAAAGACTATTTAAAACAGGTCCAATTACAAGAGTTCAATCCAAAGGATCGTGCTAAAAAGAATTTTCTACTATACACTACTTAACGTGAGATGCACATGTAATAAACATTTTCCATTTTTTTGAAGACTATTTAAAACTAGTCCAATTACTTTTTTGAAGACTATTTAAAACTAGTCCAATTACAAGAGTTCAATCCAAAGGATCGTCTCATAAAGCTACTTTCTACTATACACTACTTAAAACATTCTCTCTTTCGTTGAATTCAATTAAATATTGTTGCAATATGTAATAATAACTAATATGATTTTTAAAAATGAGTCATAAGAAAAACAGTTAAACTTTTACGTTAATATACATACGGAAGATTAACATAAAATATTTCAATCACCATCTTAATCGGTTAAAAAAAGATTTTATAATTTGTTTAGTCTGTCAAGTAAAAATCGACAACCAATTTAGTTATTTTCCTAATTTTAACACCATAATATACCCTTCAAAACCAGTTTGTAAGAAAATATCTCCACTTTTCCATGTGAAGGAAAAAAGGAGGGTGCATTGCATCCATATAGAACTCTCCTTTAGGGAACCCAAATTCCATTTTCAACAAGATTGAAAAGGAGAATAAAAACATTATGTAGAACGTAAGGATTAGATCAGATCAAACTGATTGCAATATTTATTTGATGATAAAATATTATACTTCATAATGATTTTAATTACAAGGAGAATTATCAGAGGGGAGCAAAAAGAATGGGAAGATGAATATATCAGAAAATGGTGTCTATTCCAAGTGTCCTTTTCGGAGGACTTTGATCTACGATCTGCTGCTTCTGCCTGTCCATAAATGTAGAGCCCTTGTTCGCAAATAGTCTCCTCAAGTTGATTACTGAAAGATCACTGAAGTTGGCGACAGCAAGATCAGCTTGCCCCAAATCATACCTGCGTGTTTTGATGTCAGTTTCTAAATGCCAAAAGAAAAATTACATATTTTCAAGTAAGAAAGTGTGCAACAGAATGCGAATTAGATAGGAAATATGCATGCATGATGCAGGGTATGTCTCATGGAATCTTATTTTTCATATTAGCATCTTATGTTATTTATTGAAGGATTAATGTGAATTACTCACGCTGGATAAGCTCCAATCAATGCTACAGCCATCATTGTGCAATTGTGCGCAGCAGTTACTCCTCGAGGATCATCTTCAAAAACTACACACTTGGAAGGTTTCCGATCAAGCTGCAATGCATTTTAGGCAAAGAAGTCAAAAACTAGCAGTAAGTTGTAGAAAGAATTTATGAAAGATTTTCCTGAAAATTAGCCGGTGGGACTTGTATAAGGTCACACAATTAATAGCAGAAATTATTTGGGAAAAATATTATAACCGCCAAAAAATTTCCATGTTATACTAAAGAACTCAAACTATCAGGATTTTAATCTGATAAAGGAACCTCCAGTCATGTCAAAAAAAACTTGACTTTTAAAACTACATCACCCAGCGAACAATTTCAAAAAGGAAATTTTTTAACACTCAAGTCTTAGTTTTGCACCGAGCAGCTCAATGATAATAGCAGCTCAATGATAATAGCCCGCAAAATACCCTTCAACTTAAAAATACAGAGTAATACTAAACTTAACATATGTTAGTTATTATAAATCCTACGATGCGATCAATGTTTTATTATAGACAATAGAAGACTAGTTTATGTTTTATCATCACAGATAGAAGACTAATACTTGTACTTTAAGAACACACAGCAGTATTAGTATTTACTCTCTAGTAGAACTGTATTCTTGCCAAAATGTAATTATCGGTAACAGTGAAAATACTGTAATAAATATAGTGATAATAAAATAATAGTCATTCTTAAAAGAAATATACCTTAACCGCAGCCGAGAGAAATCTATGAGCTATCGACTCCATTCCATCCTCCTCTGTCACAATTGCCTGCAAAACCAATGAGGTAATTAGAAAGTGGTAAATTCATGAGCATTTTAACCTTATTTATATATTTATATACTATATCTAGTATGTGCAATAGGTCGAAAATTAGTTCAAGTCATAAAGAGGTCAAGTTAGATTTACTCATGAAAAACAAACTTCTAAAAATAATCAATTCGGTATAGTAAATCTTGATCTTAAATCAATTTAAAACAAACTTCAATTTTCTTTTACGAGAGTATGTTATAACAGCATTTTTCCAAAAATATACTGACAATACCAAAGGCGGTGATAAAGTTTGAATAAAAGGATCTTTGGCTCTTTGAATATAACCTAAGATCAAGTAAATTTTGTCATTAATACCAATGTGATTTTTAGCTCTTCACAAGTATTACCAACCTGAAAGTACTTATTGAGCCCCATTCGTTCCAAAGCTTCTACCACATTTTTTCTATCAAGACTTGAAACAACAGCACAGGGGATGCGGGCATTATAAACTGCTTCCAACCAGTCTTTCAGACCCTCCATTGGTCTTTCAAGCTAGAAAAAATTATATGCAATATATATCAAGATTATTCCATTACAACACTAGATAATAGCCACCACAACAAATCAAGGAAACACCTTACTTTCAGAAGATTATCATAAAATATTTGAGAAAATCTCAACTTCAGTCTATCCAGCTCATTTTCTTCCTTATTTGAGAGAAAATACTGCGAATTAAGAAAGGCTAGTCAGCAAAAATAAGTAGTAGATAGTGACTAATACAAGGTGAGATTTTTAATGATGGGTTCTAATAAGTATTTGTTCATAATTCAATGACCACAAAAAAAACAAATGTCAAAAGAAAAAGCCAACTAACCCTATTAAGTACATGATCAACACCTGTACGAAGCATTAACCTTTCAATTTCACTAGCTTTAGGAATATCTTTTCCTGCATGGAAATGTTATACATTAACCTTTCGATACCACGACCTGAACTAGTAAAAGAATGGTTGCTTGTTAAATTTTCTTATATAGTGCTAATTGTATCCTTTTGTTTTTGCTTTTTCCATCTATCCAAATGGAGATGCTCAAAATCAATCCATTTAAGTCCTATAAACTCAATCAAAACGATTAACATACCCTCTTCAGAAGCCAGCTGCTCCCATACCTTCCTCTTTAGAGCTCGAGTATCAGCCTGAAACATATCACAGCAATTTAACAGATAGTAATTAATTTAAACTGAGTGGATGCATGATGATATTATCTGCAATGCAATCACATTCTCTTTTCTCAAAAACCTACAGTTAAAGTAGTTTGTCCCACTGCTACAAGCAACAAAGCATTGACACTAACAAAAAGAGTAGCCTTGTCATGTTGGACACTCTATCATTCAAACACTTGACAGACACCTTTTAGCTGTACTCTATAATTTCACCCTTTTTCTGAACTTTTTTATAACAATAAACACAGGCACACAAATGCCGCAAGTATACAACATTTTGTGATACAGACCCGATCGAAACAAACAGACCATTAGATTTGTGATGCACCCTTATGTGTTGTATGGTATCCGCGCTTCCTATCTCACAACCACAAATTATCTATGTTACACAGACTCAAATCAATGCATGTCCGATGTCCAACACATGTTAGTACCTAACCCCGACATGACACCAATAAATGCAGTTACAAATAACTTCTTAAGATGTGTTTGGTTTTCGACATACATATATGCTTCCTAGTAACTAGTAATAGTAGTGATAAATGTCATAAAATCAACATGCATAACTTAACATATACTAAATTAAACCCACTAAAACACTAAAGTAAAGACAACCAACCATGTATCCAACATGACACAAAGAAAAACCCTAAAAGCTAGAGTTATCATGAATTAAAATAACTTACCACCACATTGTCCCAACAGAAGATAAGACCATAAGCCTCATCCGGCTTAACGGCATAACGAATGCGCTGAAGAATACCTTCTTGTAAATTATCATTCAAGTAATCCTATTTTCAACAACAATTTACACACATGAGTCACGAATTAAACTATACTAGCACTTGCTTAGAAATTTTTTATTACGGCAACAAAAATTCCTTACCACATCAACTTTTAACGGTCCATCTGCCCTAAAAGTTTCAAATCCTTCTCCATACTCAGCCCCAATAGCCTGAAACAGAATAAAATGAATTCGAACACACTAGCAAAGTTTAAAAACAAAAAATAAAATTAGTAGAACAGTTACCTCCTGAACGAAAAGCTTGTTAGGTGTAAACTGAATTCCGTTAATCGAAGCGGAATCATCAGACTCAGAACTGCAACTGGCAATTAAGCGATTCCTGTTTAATCCCAACCGCTTAAACGGGAGATGGATAGAAAAACGAGGGGATTGAAGACGATAAGCGTGTGAGAGAGGAATTGCATGGGAAGAGGCTCTGGAATTGGAGAAAGTGGCGGAGTTCATTGAATTCGGAGATGGAAAAATGTTACGGAAGCGGAACGCAAGAGAAGTAGAAGATGGTGGTGGTGTGTTGTGCTGCGTTTTGGTTACAGTGTTGATTTCTGTTATTCCCAAATTTTTGAGGTTTAAATATTGTGATTGTGGATAATTTTTTTGGTCAAAGGGAGAATATTGTGATTTTGGTATGGTCAGAAAAATGAAAATTTTGTGGTAGTAGTGTGAGTGGGTTTTGTCTCTAATTCTATACTCACGTCACGTGACTTATCACGAGATCATCTTATATAAAGAAACTTTTTTGGATAAATATGGGATGGGTTATGGGATAAGGCAGCATTTAAAATAAAGTGAATTATGTACCAGAAATAAAATAAAGTAAATTTCGGAAGTGTTAAGCTTTGAAGCTTTGTTTTAACTTTTAATTTAATTTATTTTTATACAAATTTTCAAAATTGATTAAAAATAGAAAAATATAGATTTTTTTTATTAAGAGCATCTTTAGTGGGAGTATCTTAAGTGAACTAAGATATTTTTTGTGGGCTCAAAGTGATTTGTAGGATTTAAAAAATTTATAGTTGATTTGAGTTGTTTTTACTTTTATGATAGTTGTTTATAGAAAATTAAAATTTGACCCTATATTTTATATTTTTAATTATAATTATTTTTTTATTAAAGTTATCATTAATTTAATTATTTTAAATAAAATACACAAAATATAAATAATAATATTATATATTTCAAAATAAATAGCATACGTTTAACTATATAATTGTCGGAAATTAAAAGTTAGTGAATTAAATGCCATGTCATAGTCATTTCAATGCAAATTTTTTATAATCATCATTAACTATTAAAAATCTGCATTAAAGATGCTTTACACATATCTTCTTGTTTAATTAATTTGTTTTAGTTCTATTTTTTTTAAACATAATTTTGCTTCTATCCTTTCTTCTTGTTTTAACTTTTCTATTTACTAACTAAATATTTGGGCCACTATAATCAAAAAATATATGTTTGGGTCAAGCACTTTATTATCATTTTAAAATGCTCGCGGTTAAACTTAGATCTAATTTGATTAATTTTAATATTTGATTTAATCAATATTCTTTAAGTTATGTTTGATTAAATGTTCCGTACTTTTAAAACTAAAGCGAACCAAAGCAACTCACTTATTAATGGGTTGGATTAAGTTGAGTTTGTAGGTCATCTACTAAATATAATTTTAAATTCTAAATAAAATATCAATTTAATTAACACATTTATTTTACATAAACATTAAAAAAAAAACATAAATTTTTTAGTATTTAATTTGAATAAAATTTATTAGTTAGTACCTAAAAACTCTTTAACGATTCATATAATGTTAGAAAAATATATAAATGGCGTAAAATATAATTCAAAATGTAAGATATCTCTCTTTTTGAATAAATAAAATTGATCTCTCAAATTTAATTTAGACTTAGACTTTTACAATTAATAAAAACTATAATTATATTAAAATATATATATGCATTGTAAGAATAATGCTAGATAATTTATAAATAAAATAAAATAAAAATAGTGTAACATATCAATAGGTTGGGTTCGTGGGTTCGTGGATTTAAAACTTCAAACTCATTACCCAAACCAAATACCAATGGGTTGGTTCGGGTTGGACCCGTATATGATTGGGTTGGATAAAAATAAGGGTTAGATTGGGTGAGTGGGTTCGCGTGTTAGCCTGTATCCATAAACACCCCTAACAATGTGTAATCAAATTTCTTTTTTCTTATAATATTTTGATACAAATCTTACATTGTTTGAGAATTGAGAGCGGATAGAATATTCAACACTAACATTCTTCAACTCAACAAGACATATTTTTTAAAGAACAATATCATGAAGAGTTTTATACCTATAGCAGACAATATATTGTAGATGTAATGCAACTGACTTAAGGTCGATTGAAACATTGGCACTAGAAAGAGGGGTTCAACCCCTGACAATGCTCAAGGTTTGGACCTTTTAGTCCATTAGCCTTAGTTGGAGGGTATTGTTCTAGTACACCTTAAAATTCAATATTGTTTGGTAATTGAGATTAAAGGTAGTTTATATATGATACTTACACTTCTCAATCCAATGAGACGCCTTTTTCAAATGACAAAATCACTAAGGGTTTCATATGAACAACACATTCATATTATATTGGGCGAGCTCCACCGTGTTGCTGAATTAGGTAGTTAACATGTGGAACATACACATTTAATGCACTTTTTGCATAAGAGACCTACGTGTTGTCGCTGCGCGAAAAATGACACAGAGTCGCCACCGAATTTTATTTATCCCAAGGAGGGAAAGGGAAATAACGATAAAACCTTTGGGAAAAGAGCATGGTCATCGCAACTAAGTCTTAGGGTTCGGGAGTCGGCTATGCAAGGGGAAGGTATTAGCACCCCCTCGCATCCATCGTACTCGATGGGAACCTTCTAGGTTGTTTAGCGTGAATGAGTATTTTTTATTAAAAGTTTGCTTGCTTAAGGAAATGAGGGGTTGGTTTTTATTTTAATGCTCGCCAAGGATTGTGGCCCTTGTGCCTACGTATCCTCACTTAAAAGAAGTGAAGAATTAGAGCTCCATAGTTCGGAGGCTTGTGAAATAGTTGTTTATTGGTTGATTTTATACCTTGAAAAAGAGTTTTCGGATTGATGCCCTAAGGCGAAAAGAAGTTTGATGGGTTGATGTTATTTTATAGGTTTTTGAGAAGAAATTGTTTTTGATTAGGATCACACTAAAGACTTTGGATAGAGATGAATGTTTCGAATAACCAAGTCAAGCACCTTGTATTCAAAACATTCGGAATGAGTGTAGGAGGGGATCCATTCTCATTCCTTCTCCACCACTTTAAAGCTCATGGCATATAAACTTAATTGTATTTTTATTGTATTTTGGATTTTTATGAGAAAAATACCACTTTATGTTGGATCAAGGGTTTTATTGCTTGTAAAAATATTTGAAAAGATGCGAACAAGGTTGATGGCGATGCACAAGGCAATCGACTTACAAGGTCAAAAATGGCTCGATGAGAATCGAGAGTTTGTTTTCTTAAAAATGGTTTTTTGGAACCAAAGGTCAAAAATGACCAACAATAAAATATCCACATGCAAACACAACGGGTTAGTCGGCTTGAATCAAAACACATACAAAAAGCGAACTCCTTGAAAAAAACTTTTTAAGGTAAAATCGCAAACAAAAAAAAAGTGAAAAACAGGGGTCTGACACGGCCCGTGTCAAAAAGTACCCACAACAATGATTTTCTGAAGTAAACAGGGGGCTGACACGGTCGCCCGTGTCAAGAAATGCCCAGAACACTGATTTTTGGAGGCAAATAGGGAGCTGACACGGCCCGTGTCAGCACCCCTGGGAGATGCGCGCGAAGAAAACTTAAACAGCGGGCTGACACGGCCGCCCGTGTCATCCCTGCTGGGTAAAAAAATCTGAACTTTTTTCTCTGTTCTCTTTCTTTCTTGTGGTTCTTACAATGGTTTCTTGGTCCCTCTTGGGACTTTATACAAGGTACACAACACAAAAACACTCAACAGAGATAATAAATGACAGGTGCAAAATATAAAGAGAGAAAAGTTTGAAGAAATGGATACCCAAGAGTTGTTATCCTTCTTGCAAAGCCTCCACTGATTTTGGTTGAGTGTTCCCTTTACTCTTCACTCTATGTTTTGAAGGTGCTTCTTCTTAATGGTTCTCTTGTGTTTCTATGTAACTCTCTTGACTTTGCTGATTTTCTTTCTCTATATTTTTCTGGTTTTTGTTCTCTCTATTTCTCTATCTCAATGTGTAGTGAATACTCCCTCTTCTTTTAAACTCATCCCATTAGGGTTTTCCCTTCTTTCAAAACATCATATTTTTATGGAGAAATGTCTCTTACCACTTCCTTCATGCTACTCTCTTTCTTTCCATTTTCATGTATGTTGCTATGCTGTATTTTTGCTGCACTACTTGTCTATACTGTCTTTTTTTCTGCTGCACTTTATGCTCTCAAATCTTGTACCCATTTGTTGGTTTGTGCTTGGACAGCTCTTTGTGGTCAATGCTACTACCTTTTGACAGCAAATGCTCCCTCTTCTTTTAAACTCAGCCCATTAGGGTTTTCCCTTCTTTCAAAACATCAGATTTTTATGGAGAAATGTCTCTTACCACTTTCTTCATGCTACTCTCTTTCTTTCCATTTTCATGTATGTTGCTATGCTGTATTTTTGTTGCACTACTTGTCTATGCTGTCTTTTTTTCTGCTGCACTTTATGCTCTCAAATCTTGTACCCATTTGTTGGCTTGTGCTTGGACAGCTCTTTGTGGTCAATGCTACTACCTTTTGACAGCATTTTGAAAATTATGATATTTAATATGTAGATGCATCATTGTGGGTTCATTTCTTTGGTTTTGTGACATGTAATGGTTTTGTGATATAATGCAAATTGCCACTTCTTGCATGGGGCTGTTTTAGATCATATTAAAATTACCCATGGCTAAGCAAACATAGTCTTGATCTTGACATGTTCCAATGTTGCGTTAACTCCTAATTATTTTCCTTGGATGTTTGTAGGCACAATGTGGAACATGTAAACTTGTTGAGGCATGAAGGGTACCATTGCATGAATTTGATTAGAGACTTGAATCAAGATTAGAAATAGATTGATTTCTAAACATTATTTAGAGTTGGAGATTTTGTAACAAATGGCATTCTTGTAATGTCATGAAATTTATCTTTGTCATATTCTAGTCTTGAATTCATGAATCTTGAACTTTGAATGATGGATTTCCCTTATACCATTATTTGGAATAAATGAAGTCTTTAATTATGCACTTGTAATCTTGACTCATGCTTTGCAAATTTGAACTTCCCTTTGATCAAGAATTTGAAACAAAGTTGGAGGAAGAAACCTTGAATTAGGCATTGCACTTCATGTATATTAGGAATATTAATCTTGAATATCCTGATATTTTTCAAGTAACTT